TTTTATTGTGTTTTATTGTGTTTTATTTTATTTTATTTTAGTATTTTAGTTATTTTTGATTTTGCCAGCTTCCAATGCATTTAATTTTTTCTTAATTTTTTTTTTTACTTTTAACAATTTCTGCTTTATTTTTTATTTTATTGTTTTAATTTATTTATCACCCCATTAATTTTCTTTTTAAATTTATTTTACAGTAATTTTATTTTGTTTTATTTTATTTTATTTTAGTATTTTAGTTATTTTTGTTTTTGGCAGCTTCTATTCTCCAGTGAGGAGGACTGAAGGCAGTACCAGCACTGACTTTTGTTATCAGTAATTCAGGATTTCAGAACAGGGAAGAACATTGAAATGATGGTTGTTATTCACAAAAGTGTCTCTAAAATTTTGCAAACATTACAGCCAAGAAAGTTATGAAGAAGAAAAACTGAGAAATAGAGAATGTAGTTTTCTCCAGCTCACAATGACATATGGAAAAAAATGCTTGCATGGCCAGTAAAACAAAAAACCCCCACAAACTTAAGGTCCAGTATGAACTGTTTCAGTCAGTTAACCTATTTTAATTAAGATCACAGTAAATTATTTCAGTAGCTTCACTTTCCTCCTCCTGAACACTGAAGTTTAAGATAAAAAAAAGTCGTCTTTCAGGGCACTGGGATCCTCGTGTCAGAGGACGACACCACGTATGAGGGGGAATTCTCTGACGACTGGACCCTCAATGGAAAGGTGATAAATGAACAGCAATATCTTAATTAACAGAATGTTTTGTGTTTCATTTAATCATTTATTATATTCATTCCTCCTCAGGGTGTGCTCACTATGGCAAATGGTGACTACCTGGAGGGCTCCTTCAATGGCGAGTGGGGCTCTGGCCTCAAAGTGGCGGGCTCCTACTTCAAACCGCACCTGTTCGACACCGACAAGGACAAAACCCGTGCTGTGTAAGCTCACAGAACAATGTGCAGGAAAATTGTCGTGTCATTGGAATGAATTTATTGATCTTGTTTTATATGTTTGTGTGTGATGTGGCAGGAAGCTGGGGCGTCTGTGTGTGAGCCCCAAGGACAAGTGGCAGGCGGTGTTTGAGGAGTGCTGGAGTCAGCTTGGCTGCGAGGCGCCGGGCCGAGGGGAGAGCTGGAAGGCGTGGGAGAACATCGCCGTGGCCCTCACCACCAGCCGACGACACATTGAGGACAGGTACCTTTATAGCGTGTGATTTGTTGTTGAGTTTAAGATTGGATGTCGCTGTTTTAACCCATTTATTTTCAGATACTGATGTTTGTGTTTCGTGTGTGTCGCAGCCCGGAGATGTTGTCCCGAAGTCACAGCAGAACCCTGGAGAGTCTGGAGGTCATCCCGCAGCACGCAGGACCAATCACCATGGAGAGGTATCACACCATCCGCCTGTACCTCATCAAGGTAAGCCCACCGAACAAAACAAAAACCACATTCACGCAGGTCAGTGTGATATTAAAATTGTAATCCTGTCCGTGACTCAACACTGTATTACTATTTCTTTACTTCCTGTAGGCGTGTGACACTCCGCTCCACCCACTGGGCCGGCTGGTGGAAACCCTGGTGGCGGTCTACAGGATGACCTACGTGGGCGTTGGAGCGAATCGCCGGCTGCTGCCTCAGGCTGTCAACGAGATCAAGTCGTACCTGAACCGCATCTTCCAGATCGTCAGGTAGTTCACACTCAGCACAGCAACCTACTGCTCATATTCTCAATTTAGTAAATGTACAAAATGGATCCCCATTAATTTTGTGTGCTCTTGAATGCTCTGCAGGTTTCTGTTCCAAGACCTGCCAGAAGAGGGCGGCCTAATTCCAGAGCCCACCACCAACCTCCAGGACAAGAGGGAACCAGGCTCAACTGATGCCCAGCTAGAGTCACCGAAACCTGGGTAAAGACCGCGCAATGTCCCCACCTTGAAGCTCTGGTAGTCCTCAGTTGGCTCCTGTTAAAGTCTGTTCTGTGTGTCCTCAGCCGTGTGGTGAGCAGCTCAGCTCTGCTGTTGCCCGTCCTGCTGCCTCGTCTCTACCCACCGCTCTTCACCCTCTACGCTCTGGACAAGGAGAGAGAGGACGACGTCTACTGGGAGTGTGTCCTCCGCCTCAACAAACAGCCCGACCTGGCCCTGCTCGCCTTCCTGGGTGTTCAGCAGTACGTCACACGCTGGCTGCAACAATGCAAAGTCCTCATTGAATGATCTGAGTGTTAATCCTTTTTTTTTGTCCCCTCTTAGAAAGTTTTGGCCTGTCTCCATTCCCGTCTCCCTGCCCGCGCTGGGGGAGAAGCAGCAGGTATGGTTTAGATGTTCACCTTAGTCACACTTTTAGGGCATGCCTGTTTCAGTCTCTGAGTTTCAGCGTGTTTCCTCCAGGTCCTGTCCAGCACCAAGGACGCCTGCTTCGCCTCTGCAGTGGAAACACTACAACAGATCAGGTACGGCTCGAATCAACAACTTTAAAGGATCAGATTCTTGGCTTGCAAGCAAGGTCAGTTAATCAGGTTTCTTGTTTGTTTGCAGCACAACATTCACCCCGTCAGACAAGCTGCAGGTGATCCAGCTCACCTTTGAGGAGATCACACAGGAGGTTCAGTCGCTGCTGAAGCAGGACTTCCTGTGGTCCATGGACGACCTCTTTCCCGTCTTCCTCTACGTGGTGCTGCGTGCACGGTCAGCCGCAATTTAGAGCCAAAAAAAGAGATTGTTGCCCATTTCTAAAATAGATAATCAACATGTTTGAACTGTTTGTAGACCTCTTATCAGAGCAAATAATACAACATTTTCTATATGCTGCTTCTGAGCTTTTATAATCACCGTTGTCCAAAAACAACAAGGTGAAAATTCCTACATCGTATGAAACTTCTGATTTCTTTTTTTGTCCTCCAGAATCAGGAACTTGGGCTCAGAGGTCAGCCTGATCGAAGACCTGATGGACCCCTGCGTGCAGCACGGAGAGCATGGAATCATGTTCACCACACTCAAGGTAACACACACACACACACACACACACACACACACACACACACATCTGTCAGTATATATTTAAACTTTTTTTGTCTTTATTGAAATTTTCAAGGCACACATGAATCATTCAGTGTCTTACTTTTTAAATGCCCATTTCAAAATTACACAGGTAAATACCTCCAGACTTAGAAAGACAGATAGTGATAATTAAAATTAAACTCAGTAAAACAAAAAACACCAACAGTAATAACAATGACTGAAAGAATAAATAAAAATTGAAGTGAAATAAATAAATAAAGAAAGATGAAAATAAAATTTAATGGAGAGATGGTAATAGTAATACAAAAATCTAAATAAAAATAATTAATTGAAACAGCAAACAGTAAAATAAAAATTTTGAAAAATCATTAAAAAAATTGATACATACATGGAGAGACAGAACGACAGTAATAGTGATAAAAAAATTTAATAAAGTAAAAAAGATTTTCTAAAAATAAAAGAATTAATATGACGATAACAACAATAATAATGATGATGATAACCATAGTAATAATTAAAGTATCTTAAAATATAATAAAAATGGAAATGGAAATAAACAAAGAAATAAAGATTTAAAAAAAAAAGATATAAAATGGAGAGATGGTAATCATACAAAAATATAAGTACAAAATTAAATTGTCTTTAATAAAAGTAAATGTTACAGTAAAAAAAAAACAAGGTAGTAAGGTAATAAAAAAGACAAATAAATAATACAGCAGCTGATAATATCTTTGTTATAATATTGTTGATGATATCTTAAAAAAAGATATACATATATATATATATATAAAGATGAAAATTAAATAAAATGGAGAGATGGTAATAGTAATACAAAAATCTAAATAAAAAATAATTAATTTAAAAACAACAAAAAATAAAATAGAAATTTTAAAAATAATTTATAGTTAATAAAAATTAATAAAGGACATACATGAGAGATAGAAAGAGAGTAATAGTGACAATAAAAGATTAAGTAAAATTTTTTTTATAAAAAAATAGAATAATTACTATGAAGATAATAATGATAATAATGATGATGATGATGATAAGCATAGTAATGATTAAAATATAATAAAAATTGAACTAAAAATGAGCAAAGAAATAAAGATAAAAAAAATGATGTAAAATGGAGATATGGTAATCACACAAAAATCGAAAAATAAATTAATTTAATAAAAATACAAGTTACAATAAGGTAAAAAAGGTAAAATAAGGTAATAAAGTTAAAAAAAGACAAACAAATAATACAACAGCAATGATAATATCTATAATATAATAATATTGATGATAATATCTTAAAAAAACATGAAATATATATAAATAAAAATTAAAATTAAATGAAATGAAAATTAATGAAAATTAAATAAAATGGCGAAATGGTAACAGCCATAAAAAAAATCTCAGTAAAACATTTATTATTCATATTAAAATAAAATAAAAAATAAAAAAGCTAATAAATAAATATTACAATAAAGGATACTCACATGGAGCGATAGAGCAATATTAATAGTGATAATAAAAATTAAGTAAAATAGACTTAATGAAAAAAATTAAGTTAATCCAAGAACAATAAGGAATAAAGAACAGGAAAAAAATGATAAAATAAATACAGATAAAAATGAAATGAAAGTACAGAGATGATTAAAAATAAAAAAAAGATTATTATTTTCTGTACTGCCTGGCCTGAAGAGAGTGCAAGAATTGAAGATAAAAGTATATAAAGTCATTAAACCCGTCATTATTTATGTGTTTTTCTCTTTTCCACCTGCAGGCTTGTTACTACCAGATCCAGCATGAGAAGATCACTTAAGACGAGCGTGGCGTTACTTCCTTTCATCTTCACAGCCAATCTCTGGTCCAGGATCAGCAGGGCTTCAGGATGACAGACATGAGCAGCGACCAATGAGAAGCATCGGATCATACGAACAGGTTGCCAACAGCTCCATGTGCTGCTGTCATGGAGACAAGACCACTTCGCCCTCTGTGACACACACAAACACACTCTTTCCCCCTTTTTAGTGACCTCAACAGCTTCGTACCCGCTGATCATGAAGGTACACGTGTGAATACTGACTGCCAGAGATGAGCCACCTCATACCGTCCAGTGTAGAACAGCTGACAGACTGACTTCCTGTGGGGAGATCCTGATGCAGGTTGTTACATGTGCGGGAAAACAAGGTTCATACTTTTTCTTTTAGTGCCAATGGGAGAAGTTTGTTCTCACTGTGAGATACTGGACCTCCTTTTCTCTGTTTGGAGGAGTTTGTCAGCATGAAAAATGACGAGACGATGCATAACAGAAAACATTTCCAGTGTTTATTCTTGTTCGACTGACACCTACATGAAAGAAATAATCTCCTGAAGGCATGTCGCGCTATTAATCTGACAAACTTGACTTTTTATTTGATGACTTTGACACATTGGTGTCAAAGTCATCTTTATCTGAAGTGTTTCCAAACAGTATTTCCTGATTTGACTTCAAGGATGAACACTAACTGGTCGGTTGAGCAGATGCACATCTGGTTAAGTTTCCCACCTCGGAAACAGCAGCTCACAGCTACTTCACTGAGCTGGAAACTAGTTTACAGCTTGGTTTAATACTGAATTATAAATGCAAACTGACGTGGCTATAACTATTTTCTTTCTTCATAGTTTTGTTCTTTGAAATTTCAGGTCATACATGAATCAGTAGTTCAGTGTCTTAAGTTTCAGTACCCTTTTCCGGACAATAAAATATACGTAGGTAAATACCTCTATACATGATACAAAAATAAAAATGAAGTAAAATATGCTTAACTAAAAAAAAATCACGTAATAATGATAATAAACATAAAAAATAGTCAATAATAAAAAATAAATAAATAAAAATAATTAAAAAATAGATGGTAATAATAAAACAAGATAAACTATGTTAAAATTAATTAATAAAAAGCAATTTTTTAAAATTAATATTAAAGGGTAAGAGAGAAAATTCACCTTGGCTACAGCTCTAAATGATACTACTCCTATTCTGTTACACCAGCGGACAGTGGAATACGGTTAACCCCAGTTAGCGGCTAATTTAGCTGGCTCTGACATCATCTTTGTTATCTATGACACAGGCATTTTAAGTAATGTCCATATTTGAGTACTTGCATAATAAAAAAAATCTAACATAAGAATAGGAATGTAAATTGGCCGACAATGAAAACAAGTGCAATTTAAATGTATTTATTGAGTCACCAGGCTTCAGCTAGCCTACGTTAGCATGGACTGTCTCCGGAGTTCGCAGCCACTCTCCTCCTGGTGGGTTCTGTCTGGTTAGCATGAGCTAACACAGCAGCAGCGGCTGATATTCGACGCCGAGGCTTTTAATGGTCTATCCAAACTCACACCGACACCAAAATGGATCGACTCTGTCCACTTAACTGACTGTCCACGGCTCGGAGCTCACACTCCCGTAGCAGTAGGCTCATGATAGACGGACAGAGAGCGACAGCGGGGTAAGGACAAGGCAATACACTGCACACAGTTAAACAGAAAGTCATGTTCACATATGGGAAGTTAGGTGGTGATTACGCCATATATTGAACGAAACTGTGACGTCCAAATTGAGTAAGCTGATCCCCTAAAAGATACAGTTGAAAAAAATGTATCTGGTGACTTGAAAGCACGACTGATTTCCAAAGTGCACATTTGCAGGAAAAGCAGAAGTGAGTGAAAAGAAATGTTTTTGATTAACAATCTGAGATCCATGTGTGTGTTTCTGAGCCCGTTTTCCAGTAAAATGAATACTGACGCAGAACTGTAAAATCTGAAAATGTACGGGGTGAAAATTTGTGTCTTTAAAGGCCCGGACACACCAAACTGGTGGCCAAGAATGAGTGGTGACAAAGGCAGACTGTTGTGTCAACACGTTGCCTGCGTCAACCAAAAAGTTGCACTTGAACACACCGCAAAGACGACAGCCAACAGCCAACTAGCACGTATGTTCTGCGCCTGCATGAGAGAAAAAACTCTCCATAGCAGCAGGCGGCGGTAGTCTGTATTCGTCATTCATAATGAGAAACCGGGAGACCGACAGGTTGCATTCAAGACGCTAGTTAGCCAGTTAGCACATTAAAAACACAACCCAATGTAGAAAGTAATATTTATCGCGTGGTAGCGAAATATAACACGAACAATTATGAACTATTTCCGCAAAAGAGCTCAATGGGCTCAGTGAGCTCTGTGTTGATCTCACGCCATCTTTAGCTTTTGTTTACCTTCCTCACTTTGTTTCTCTGCCGATCAGAGTGATTTCTCTCACTGATGGGCGATTCAGCACGTTGAACAGGCCAAAAAACAGCCAACAAGGACTGAGTTGTGTAAACAGGGTAGGGAGATCACCTTTATTCCACTTGACTTCCAATAATTTTGGAGACACTCAACAAGCTGAAAATAACCTTAAGAGTTTGTATTCATTGTATTGTTATGAATCACGCAGTGTTCATTGCAGGCAGGGAGAGACGTCAGCACATGTCTCATGAGTCTAACCATCTCACTACACCTGTATATGTGTAAAATAATGAGAAATGTAGATTCAATTTTGGATTTTTTTCCCAGCTGCAGGTGGCGTTTGAGCAGAGAGCCGGCTTAATGCAAACAGTTTTTATAGATGTGATGTTCAAAGCCGATTGTGTGCGCCATCTGTTAATGCTAACTGTTCTTTTTTGTAAACCATTTACAGCACTAACTGTCAGACATTGTTGCTTATTTGTGATCTGCGTCACACATGCCAGTTTATAAAAGGGCTTAAGAGGGGATTCAGAGGATGACCGAGCCTTTTTTTTTTTTCTTCTTCAGATGGTTTAACAATAGAAAAGCCAAGTGGATCAGAGGCCTCTTTTTGGAGGGGCTAAATTTGGGTGAAGCTGCAGGATTTAGGAAGACTAGCAACAGAAAAAGGGTGTGAAACTGCTAGAATTTAAACCTCAAACTACAACTGATTTTTATTTGGAAATGTTGGGGTAAGGTGACACATAATTCAAACAGTTGTCATTTCAACAACACATCTCAGTTCATGGTCTTCTCTTGTACTTTTTGTGACTGTAAAAATGATTGCGATAACGCTCTTCCATCCCTGGTTGTGAGCTCTTGTTTCTGCTGAGACCGTATGTGCCTGACACTTAAAGAAGTGATGCAATATCGTCTGCGTAACTACGGAGTTCATTCCCAAAACGCCATTATTTTTTCCAACGAGAGACTTTTAGTTTTGTGCTGCTCTTTAAAAATAATCATTGACTGACATAACATGGCGTCCTGTTCCGTATGTTGTGAATATGTGATTTGTCTGACTTGCAAACCAAACTACAGCAACAGCACGGGACATTTATTGTAACGGTTGTACCCTTAACTGACCCCCTTTCATGAAGTGTAAATCTAAACTGAATGGTCCTAAATATAAACTGAAGATAGTGTTCATAAGCTTATATTAGTTTCATGTCCTCAACACCTGTTTACCATGGCAACGCCCCACACAGGTCATACTGTTGCATTGTGTGTAAAAATGACTGTTTTATCAATGGACTTTGGTGTTAACGAGTTGACATTTTGTGTCTCAGCTGGCTGACATGACTCCCACCTGTGTGTCTTTTAAATGATGTCAAATGTATTGTACCTTTACATAATAATAACAGAGGGCAATAAACTCATTTGATGGACATTGCTAACTAATCTGATCTGACAGTTTCATACGATGGGAAAAATTAAATGTTATGCTAAATCTGTGCAAAAATGGACAAACATTTTTTGGTTCCAGCTTCTCAAATGTGACGTTTTGTTGCTTTTAAACTGAATATTTTGGAGTATTGGAAGTCATGATGGCACATTTTCCATCAGTCAATTAACTGTTTTTGTTTGTTGGTTTGCGTTTGTCTTTGGTAAGTCGATACTGAAATATTTGCAGGCTTGAAGATGTTTTGCAGTTCAAAAACAAAAAAAGAAAAAGTATGTTTTTCATCCTAATACAAATATAGCTAATGATGTATAGTAACTTGACATAAGTTAGTGTTTTATGAGACAAGATTGATAAATTGATCCGAGAAAAACCACAAAAAGAGACAAATTTCTTCAGATTAAAACAAAAGCTAAAGGCCCCTGAAGCCTTCTCCTCTGTGCCCTAAGCCCCTCCCACCAGACGACCACAGGTGTATGCACGAGCTTCATACAGTAACCCAGAGTTCCCATACATTGATTTATTCAATCTGATTTCATTGTCAAGCTCTCTTTCTGTTTTTTCAGACAGCAAATGAGACAAGAAGTAGCTAGCTAACATTAAAGGGAAATTTCGGTTTATTTCAACCTTCTCCTATCATCCTAAATTTGTTTCAAGTGACTAGTGACATAAAAATAATAGTTAGCATGTTAGCTGTTAGCCTAGATACAACCGAGGCGCATAGTAGCATCAGACCTGTTAAAACGTAAGTGAACGGGCAACCTTCAAGTGCAAAGTTAGTCCACTAAACAAGCTTTTTTACCACAAAGACCGCCTCATATCGTTAGGATAAATGTCAGAGAACATATAGAAAACGACATGTAAACATGTTGTCTTACCTTACCGGTGTGCTGCTATGTTTGTTTACCATTTAGCTCTGCTTTCCATAGTGCGGCCGAAATATCAAAAGAACAAGCAGCGATCTCATACCGTGGCTGAAATCAGGCGAGAACAAGCAGCAACAGCTGGAAGGCAGAACCAGACAGTAGCCTGAAAAGTTCATTCATTTATTTTATGAAAGATTTATAGTATAATGGCTGACTTTTTGCCAGACTTGGACTTTGTGGAGGAGGAATTTGATTTTGCAGAGTTTGATGGCCGCCCTTATTTATTTGAGCCAGAATACACTGACGAAGAGCTTCGTGAAATTGAAGAACGGAGGAGGAGAGAGAGAGAGAGGCGCAACAGGTAGAGGAGGAGAGAGGAGGAATGGCTGCTGCAAGGCTGCGTAGCTCTGGAGATTGGTGGTGTACCTGTGAATGCTGTGCCCCAGTGCCCACAGAAGAGGGATGCCTCTGTTGCAAGGAATGCGACCGGTTGCAGCCTTATTTTCAAGGTCTGGATGTGACCGAGGACGAGACACCTCCACCTGGAGTAGTATCCAGCTGGGCTTTATCTAGAGCTCGCCAGATATATTTCGGCCGCGCTTTGGAAAGCAGAGCTAAATGGTAAACAAAAATGGCAGCACACCGGTAAGGTAAGACAACACGTTTACATGTCATTTTCTATATGTTCTCTGACATTTATCCTAACGATATGAGGCGGTCTTTGTGGAAAAAAAAGCTTGTTAAGTGGGCTAACTTTGCACTTGAAGGTTGCCCGTTCACTTACGTTTTAACAGGTCTGACGCTACTATGCGCCCCGGCTGTATCTAGGCTAACGGCTAACATGCTAACTATTATTTTTATGTCACTAGTCACTTGAAACAAATTTAGGACGATAGGAGACAGGTTGAAATAAACCGAAATTTCCCTTTAACCAACCCCCGGCTACAGCTGTGTGCTGCTTCGCCCAGTGAAGAAGCTGGTAGCAACTCAGGAGTAGTGACTCCATCTTGGTCAGCACAATCCCCTCAGCATCATATGTCACAGCAGGTTGGTGGCTAGCAGCTGTGCTGGTGTTGTATCAAAATGTGCTTCCCCATCGAATGGTTTCTCCCTTCCTCAACATGTAGTGCCCCCTGTCATGGTTAGGGGTATGGCTAAGGTTTTGGGCCAGGTTAACACATATTGACGGGGAAACATCTTCAACACAACACCGGGTCAAATCTGTGTAACAGCAGCAACAGAAAGTTTGGCGATCCAGCTGGGAGTTGGGGCTCTCCAGTCTCCAGGAGCTGGTTGGATTTGGGCCGCTGCGGCCACTGGTCCATCTCTGGAGCTGCTGCCCGCTCTCCCCCCGGCACTCTAGGTAAAGTTAGCTACATAAACGTGAACACAAAGCCGCAGCTGTGAGCCTTTAGCTCCGGTTAGCAGAGGGCTAAACTATTAGCAACATTTTCTCTCCATCTCTAAAACACTTTACCGATACTGACACGTTTTTTTTATTTTGTTTATTTTCAGATTCTCTTTTTTGTGAGTCTGTCTTTCTCTGCTGGATTCTCCGCCATCTGAAGGTGTGCCTGCACGTGTGTCTGCATTTATGGAACAGCCAATAGGAATGCACTCTCTGAAATGACGTGTGGTTGGCCAAAGTGTCTCGTCAAAGCCTGAAAACAGAACCAAGAGGAGGTGCAGAAGTCTAGTTTTCTCTCAGACGACTTGAATTACAATAAGCTCAATTGGAATTATGGGATTCTTGCCCAGTGACCTCAAAAAAACTGCCTACCCCAGCTTTAAATGTTTAACTTGTAAGGGCTCTGCTGTTAAACTGCCAAATCTTCTTGCGCTGCACTTTTTTGAGGCTTGAGGGTGAGAATTAGCCAACTAAGACACGTTTTATATGAAATGCCAGGAGATAATCTCAGTGTTTTGGGTGCAATACGTCATTTTAGGGCTTTTCAGATGGAGGGAGGAGAGATTTTGTTGTATTTCCTTTGGAATAAGATTACCAATCAGGAGATAAACCCCATTCCTGTCAGATTTTTGAGTTTGCCTAAGGAGATGGTTTATCTGCACTCTCCATTAACTCCAGCTGTTGAGGCAGATAAGCAGATTTTTAATTGCTGACTGAAGGCTTTTCTCAACTTTTTTAAACACATCTCTCTCAATCTGTCCCTTTTCAAGAGCTGGAATTGTAAAGCACTTCTCTAAAGCGTGAGTGCAAAATGCCGAAGTACCCCATCATCTCCTGACACCTAAATTCTCTCCTCCTTTGTCAGACCGTGGAGTCGCCTCCTCTCCACTTGCTCCTCCTGCGTGCCGCTGAAAGCTGAAAGAGTTAAGAAGATTTGGCAGCTCTGCGGCAGCCAGCCAGCCGGTGAGGGAGGAACTGGCTTCCGGTGGCTAGAGGCAGGAGGCTCTCTTGCCCGGGATTAAGTGGGATCGGGAGAGATTACAGCCCTCTCTCTCTCTCTCTCTCTCTCTCTCTCTCTCTCTCTCCCTCTCGTTCCCTGCAGCTCGGTGAAAGTGTAGAGCTCCGTCCAGTCTCTGGGGAATATTTTCCCATTGCGTACGAACGTTTTCCTGCACAAACCTGCAGGAGCTGGAGGAGGAAAGCTTTTGGCATATTTAAGGATTCAGACTTTAAGGTAAGATGCTTTTTGTTTGAAGAGCTTGGAGGAAGGCCACAGGGTCATCCTCTCCCTCTGACTACGTCTTGAGGAGCTCCTTCTGTTTTATTTCTTTAAAGCAACCAATTTTTCACTTGTTTTTGCTTAAATACATCACGTGTGGTTGTGACGGTTTATTTACAGTCATGATTAGTTTTATAGAGGTAGTAGAAGCTGCCTGACTTTACTTTTTCAACCTGTTTTGGTCCATCACAGTGTCATCTGAATGTCAACCTGACCTCATGAAGGTTAAAATGCCATCAAACCTAAATTTCTTCCCTAAAAATGTCAGTTATTTTGTGCATACTGGTGTTTGCTGTCTCCTGATGGTTCACCAGCCAGAGATTAGGGTCTGCACATCTCTGTGTTTACATCACTGTCTCTCTTACGAGCCGCCGTGAAGTGTGCCATTAACCCCTGACCCCATTCACACTAACCACTCATGGAGTTGTGGCTGCACCTCCCTCACCTGATCCCACTGCATGCTCACGGCTGGATTACCAGGCAGGCAAAGTGATGCCACAGAAGAGGCCCAAGAGTTTTGTGGAAAAAACAAAACAGCAGATCCTGTTTTAGAAGATAATCCTGCAGCCCTGTCTTGTCGGACTTTTATTATTTTCAACCCAATCGGCAGAATACATTTTAAAATAAAAGTTGCGGATGCACTGAAAGATTATGTTTCTACAAGGCTGTAGTTAATGTGTGGTTAGGTTTAGGCACAAAAAACACTTAGTTACTGTTGGGAAGATTTCTCATTAAAAACAACCACTTTTCGGGCACCCTTCCAGCAAGAAATGCATCCATGTCCTGGGGGGAAAAAACGTTTTTTCATGGCACTTTCCTGGCAGGAAATGCCGCTATGTCTCGGTAAAAAACAACCACTTTTAGTGCCACTATACTGGCAGGAAACGCAGAGGTTTCTCAGTGAAAACTACCGCTTTTTGGGGCATTTTCCTGGCAGGAAATACAGCGATGACGCTGTAAAACGCAGCAGTGATTTGGGAAAAAAAAAAATTTTTGTGGCACTTTACTTGCAGGAAACAACCGCTTTTTGTGGCAGGAAACGCAGAGGTTTCTCCGTGAAAACTACCACTTTTTGGGGGCACTATCCTGGCAGGAAAGACAGTGATGACTCTGTAAAACGGAACCACTTTTCGTGACGCTATTCCAACAGAAAAGTCAGAGATTTCTAATTAAAAACAACCACTTTTTCGGGCACCCTTCCAGCAAGAATGCATCGATGTCCTGGGGGGAAAAAATGTTTTTTCATGGAACTTTCCTGGCAGAAAATGCAGCTATGTCTCGGTAAAAACAACCACTTTTCGTGCCACTATACTGGCAGGAAACACAGAGATTTCTCAGTGAAAACTACCACTTTTGGGGGCACTGTCCTGGCAGGAAACACAGCGATGACTCTGTAAAAAACAACCACTTTTTGGGGCACCATTCCAGCAGGAAACGCATCCATGTCCTGGGAAAAAATGTTTTTTCGTGGCACTTTCCTGGCAGAAAACGCAGCTATGTCTCGGTA